GTTGTAAATACTTGAAGATGATGAGGTTGAGAGAGTAAAAATGCCATTTTCGAAAAAAAATTCAAAAAACATATAAATGGCATTTTCGTAAATAAAATGAAGATGTGGGGTGAATAGGACAAAAACAAGATGAGTCAAAAGAAGAGGTTAGTTTTGTGTTTGACTTGGAGTTTTGAGTCAAATTTGCAAAAAGCCCCATAATATAATGGGCTTGTGTGTATTGTCATTTTAATTAATGTTATACACTCAGATTGAAACTGAGGGACGTGAACTGAAACCTGTTGCTCTTGGTACCTCCAGTGATCTACGCGTAGGCCAGAGTTGCTTTGCAATTGGGAATCCGTATGGATATGAAAACACTTTGACAATAGGGGTAAGAGTTTAGGAGAAGATCCTTCCATTTTTTTTGTATATATGTTTCATTGAAAGTATAAACATATCACTTGAAAGGGGATTTGATTGTTTGTTGTCATGGGGATGATGTGTAGGTAGTGAGTGGGTTGGGAAGAGAGATACCTTCACCTAACGGTAAGAGTATCCGAGAAGCTATCCAAACAGATGCTGACATTAACTCTGGTAATTCTGGAGGGCCATTGCTTGATTCTTATGGCCATACCATAGGCGTCAACACTTCCACATTCACCCGCAAAGGTTAATGTTCCCTTTTACCACCATATCTAAGAACATAAACTCTGTTCTTCCGACATGAATCAGACACTAAAGACAAAAACTGTTTGCGTCATTCATTGCAGGGACGGGTATGTCTTCGGGAGTGAACTTTGCCATTCCCATTGACACAGTTGTTCGAACAGTACCTTACCTCATTGTGTATGGAACAGCTTACAGAGATAGATTCTGAAAATAAAACAAACATAAAATACAAAACTCCAAACGGTCTAATACATTAATCTTCACAAAGTTATGTGAATTAAATTTCATCATACAATACAAAGATATGTAGTAACGAAGAGACAAACTCATCAAAGTCTTATAAAAGGAGGCTCTCTACTCTTTGAGTTGAATCAACGAAAGCTGTTCCTCGATAGAGCAATCAACATGGCAAGAGGTTCTGCAAGAGGAAGGGATGAGGATCATACCCAGACAACGCTGTTCAGTAGGAGAAGGAGAGGATCTTCTGATGCTGCGATACTCAACGGTGTCTTGGAGAATGATGTTTCCTTGTTTGTCAATGCAATGGAAACTGCCAAGGAAGAATCTCCCGTCTTTGATTCCGACAAGCATCTGGCGGAACAAGAGCTTCCTCACTCGTGATATCGGATCTAAACCGGAACCATCAGAGGTAGACGCAGCAACGACAGTGGTGGTGCCATCTTCTTGTTCCATTACCACAAACACAGGATCTTGTTCTTGTAATATGCTTTTACACACACAAAAAAAAGATACAAAATCAGAGGTTTGAACTTTGAATTTTTTTTATAGATACAAAATTTAATCAACAAAACATGATTCAAGGCACAGAAGATATTTAGAACTAATGAAATAAAAGGAATGATTTAGCAGAGAGAGAGAGAGAAAAGACGATGTACGTAGTAGTGGTTGTCGTCTGAGATTCAAATACGCGGAGGGGCTGGAGAGGAATCCAACCCTTTGAGGATTGAGGAGTAATCAATCAATCTATTGCTCCCAACCCGAAGCTGAGACGATTTTATCAAGTATGGAGAGAGGGGAGTGGGCCATGGCCCATGGGTCCAGGTTCCTTACAAAAGGCCCAATTGGTTTTCTTTTTCTTTCTTAAGCATAAAATTTTTAATTTCATTGACTTGCCGGGTATATTTTTTATTTTTTAAACACTAGAGGATTACAATATCATTAAAACAAGGATTACACCATTGTTAGACTAAAGCCAGCGAGTTATCAAAACTCCCGGAGGTCTTAGCCAGCGGAAGAAGAACCGTTCCCTGGAATCATAAGCCGACAGACAACAAATCCTCGAAGACAACAACTTAGACTAAACACTATGGTTTTACATTTAACAAATCAGACCAAACAACATAAAACTCTGAAGGAAAAGAAGAACAATCGAAAGAAAAAGGAGCTGTTAAACTGAGACATCAAGGATCGAACTTTATTCAAGAGGATCAAGCTATCACTCATTATATTGCTCCTCATCGGAGCCACGAGCGCATTGACACAACCAAGGAAGGCGAAGTGAAGAGACTGGTTTACCTAACGCCTTCGACGATCTCGCCGAAATCGAACCGTTGCAGCAGATATCAAAGATAAACCCTCTTCTTCCAACCGATCATCTTCTCCGACAGAGCAACCAAGATAAGCACTAAATCGCAGAGGAATAAAACTGAAACATGCACATGCAACCAAGAAATCGTTGACGAGGATCCAAAGGTCTAAAACACCAACAGATTAATACATGCATAAGGATCAGCAACTGCAACGAAGACCGGAACAGAAGCGTAAGGACCAGCCACTCGATTTTGATCTGAATCTAGATTTGAAAATGAAAAAACCATAACCGATCATAGAAGAAACTAAACAGAGTACAGAGAAGGAAATAAACAACAGGTCTGGGGTTATACTTGTCAGGTATATCTATCTCTTCTCTTTATTTTGATAAAACTCCAATGTTTTTTAAGAGCAAGATTAATGGGGAGAGGGGGGGAGGGGAGATACATCCACGATTGGTTCGTTTTAAAAAAAAAAATCAGACAAAATAAAAAAATTTAATCACTTCTAAAAGGGTGCTATGATTAAAGATGCTCTAAGCGTATCTCATTTTGTGATGTACTTTACGAAAATGAAAGCTCTCTGAGATCAATATCTCCTCACAAGTGATGAACATCATATTCTTGTGATGATTATCTCTTCTTTATATATATAACTTTGATTGGTAACATGTGGTAACTTTGATTAAGTTTGAGTTAGGCTTGTAACTCAAAAATGTTACTAATCATGCATTAAATTTATTTATTTTTATTTTTGATTTGATTTAAGATGTGTTGTGTTTGAGTTACAATTTTGACTTACACCCTTTATAAAATAGTTAACTCAAAACTTAAACCTACATCAACCCAAATCTCATGTTTTAGAAGTTGAATCACAAATTTGCTTGATTTTTCTGGTTTAAAAAATAAAGATTATGAGCAAATATTTAAGTGTGCCGTTAAATTTTCGTTGCTTTGTTTATTTACTCCCTAAATTTATACTAGTCAACGATTTTATATATAATCTTTCTTGCTCATGTTTCTTTTAGTTATTCAAATGTTTAACTAATTACTACTGTAAATGACAAACAAGCTTGAATATAATGGGCATATGTGATATAAACATGATTTTCACGTATGTGGGTCTACACATGATTTTCACCTATGTTATTGTTTTTCTTTTAAATTTAAAGTTCATTCTATTATTATTATTTAATTTAATTTAATTTATTATTGATATTAGATTAAATTGTATCATTAGGTGTATAATACTTAGAAAATAATACATATTATTTTTAATTTTACAAAAATTCTACCTATTTAAAATAAATAAATTTTATTTTTTAATTAGTGAATAGCTTAATGGTTTATTTGTTTTAATAAAATAATATCTATTTATATGTCTATATATTTAATTCTTTTATTGAAAATTCATACTGCAACTTATACATCAAAAATGTTACCAGTCATAAATTTTAATAAAATACTAAATTTTATTTTTACTGTAAACTTACCGCATAAACTTACAGCTTTTACTACATACTTTTTACTGCAAATTACATCAAACTATAAATCATACTATGATTCAACTCTAATATTACATGTCACCAGTCGGAGCCATATTTTGGTTAGAGTTATACTGCCATTAATTAATAAAATATATTGGTTGTATCAAACACACACATTTGTATGTATGTATAAAAGAATAATTCTGGATTTACTAGCTAACTGATAAATGAACCATTAATCAAAAAAAAAAAACTGATAAATGAACAGGTAGGGTTTTCGTAACCCTAGTATAAATATAACGTGCTCCAAAAAAAAAGTAGGTAGGGTTAATAATGTCTTGGCCAAGAACTAGCTACTTTGTCCTCCAGAAGATGATGATGTCCTCTTCATCAAAACCAAAACCCTATCCGATTGGTAAGGATCATCATCCCCGGTCTACTGACTGCACCAATATTATTCGCGGTTCATTATCGTAGCTCTATAAGCGAGTCCAGTTCCTGATCAATGACGTTTGTGACCTAGACACTGCAGCCAAACACGATCTTTTAGCTGCAAGGAAGAAGATTTTCCCCAAAGAGGCCATCTCTATCAGCAAGGCAATCATCAGCGCCATGTGCAACGCTGGTCAGTCAGGCGACCCCTTGGATCTATTCGATTTCTTTTTCAACGAGTCCAAGATGAAGCCTGACATCTCTACCTGCAATCTCATCATCAAATCTCACTGCGAGGAAGGCCGCCTTGAAGACGCTCTTCGACTCTACAACCACCTGATCTCGATGACGACGACGACACCTTCCCCGGACCACAAGACATATGACCTCTTGACCAAAGCCCTTGTCGATGTTGGAACGATGGACCATGCTCTGGGCCTTTTGTTGAGTGGAAGGGCTGAGTTATTCAATTTCCAACAGCCAGGCATGTACATGAATCTCATACGTGGCTACTTGGAACAAGGGAATCTCTACATGGCGTATCAGCTCCGCGACGATTTCAAAACGTGTTCCATACGCAATAGAATCGCAATACTCAACTCAGTATTCGATGAATATTTGTTCAAGCAAGGCAAGGACGAGGAAGCTATGGAGCTGTACAGGACCTATGGCTTCACAGCAAATGTACACGTGAGCACTCCTTATTTGGAGATTTTGCTCAAGTACGGCAAGAAAACCCAAGCATGGGAATTTTTCCATTATATGCTTGACAACTACGTCGACCGCTGCATTGGTTTAGATGAAGATACTCTTAATATGATGGTAAATGAGTGTATTGAGGCCGGGCAATTCAGCGATGCAGTCAACATCTTTGCCAAGACCAAGGCTAAGTTAAACTACTTGCGTACATAAACCTTATCACAAAGTTGTGTAATTGTGGGAGGTTGTCCGAGGCTGAGAGTGTGTTTGAAATCTTGTTGACAAAGCAAGTCACCAAACCAGATGATGTAACCTACACATCGTTGATTCATGGATATATTATTTCTGAAAGGGTTGAGGATGCCATTGAAACTTTAAACAAGATGATGGCTGATAAACTCAAAAAGGTTACTAACATGTTACGCTAGGTTTTCTTTTGCTACTATGATTCTTTCATCAATTATTTAGTTTTTTTTGGTAAAATGTTTAAAAAAAATACAATACTGTAAATTGAACCATCACACAGACATTCTTTTAGCATAATACACTAAGCACTCGAGCAAATATTACTTCATTTCAATTATGTAGTTTGTCGAAAAAATAAAAATAAAAGACTTTCATTCAGTTTAATATTATGCGTAGTGTTAGTTTGTTCTGTTAGTGTAGCTGCATCACCTGAAGCAATGGGCTCTGTGCATCTAGAGGCATACATTATCTCAGAAACTATAAGGTGATTGAACAAAAAAAAAGAAGAAAATTAACCAAATTTAGATAAAAGCTAGATCAAGTAGCGCACTAATCATGTACACAAAGCTAGTTCAGACAAGATTATATCTGCATCGACACAAAATACATCTAGATTCCAAATACATACATACCAAACCTCAAACATTCAATAATAATGTCAAGAAAAAAAAAACCTAACAATAATGTTAGAATAAAGTACTAGTACTAAGAATTAATTCAGAACCACAAAATCAATTATTATCTTGTTTGGAAAGATACCACTTATAAGCATTCACATGGCAATCAGACGGATGGATGACAAATGTAGTTAAGCTCTTTATGGAATAATTTTAGAAGGCGTAGAGTTACTGCAAAAACAGAGACACCATCAGTAATTGTGTGCTTTCGCATCATTAAGGAGAGCGCGACGAGATTCTCAACTTGTGGACAGTGAGATGGCTGAAGTTCAATGATTCTCAATGTTTGTTTTTTAAATATGCATGATTCTCAATGTTTGACAGATAAAACAAACAACCAATGTGACAACAACCCATACAACAAAACAATTTAAACAAAGAAAGGTATTAGTCTTCAATATTAAACCAATGTAACTCAATTTTGCCGCTCATGCTGATGATGCACCACCAATGATCCTCTGTCTCAGAATTTTCACGTTGGAACCCCACAAGACACCACTTTCGCCAAGCTTCTCATATAAACCCTTGTGAACTTGGTATGTCACTCCTCTTTTCTCCAGGTATTTAACAAAATCAATAGCCGAGTCTGTGTCATTCATCTCTTGGCAGCGAGCCAGTATGCTAACAATGATCTCATAGTTTGGTTAGTATACCAAGCACTTGGCCTCCCTAACAGCATCACCAATCAGTCCCTTCCTCGCAAGTGCATCAATGTATGTTCCCACGTGTTGGATTGCAGGTTCTGTTGACACCATCTTAAACATTTTGCCAAGAAGATAATTGGCGCACTCAGTTTCACCAGAGTGGCTACACCCCACAAGTGCATTCCAGTAGGTTGTTTCAGTCTTGACCAACGCCTTGGGCTTGTCAAGGAACATGTTAATGGCTTGAAAACCTTTACCACCATAATCCAAAGTAGCCAGTGTTGAATTCCACACACCTATACCAGCAACATTAGACATATGACACTCACTGAACAACCTTTCAGCGTCAGAATTCTTTCCGATTTGAACCATACAATCTCAAAAGTTTTCCAATGGTACACGCTATATACTGTTACACAACAAAAAGCAGAACATTATGCATGCTAGACGATAAAACCCATAAATGGGAGTAAAGCAGAACTACGCAAACCGAAAACTCAATGGGAGTAAAGTAAATGACTTCAAAACTTTGGAGTGAGATTCTCAAAGACAAATGACTAACCGTGTTCTTAATCTGCTTATTCAAATTCTACATTGTTTAACCATACAATCTTCTCTGGGAGTCTGTTCATTTCTGCTTTCCTTTCTTTGGGCCAGCAAAATCAAAGTTTACCATCATTTTTTGATCATTTGAATCAGATCAAAAGAAGCAACCATGACCAACCCTTTGTGGAAGTCACAAGTATTGTTGAACAGATAAAACACCAGAAGCCTACACGATTAGGCAAACTCTAATGCAAGGAAGATATGAGTTTATCAGTCACTTCAGTTTCTACTTTACTATCTCAGATGCTATTAAATTACCATAAACAGAGAATTGCACTGAAGTAAAGACCCTCCATACTCAAGAATATGGAAAACTGTTTTTCTTCATTAAAATGTATCTGCTACATCAAGTCTGTTGCAAAGTGTTTGAGATACTGTGTCCATTAGCTTCTTTTGATTCCGGAACATTCAAATAAGGGGAAACGCTATTAGTTTCTTGGTGTTTACCATTTTCTAAAGGCATAAAAACTTTTGAAGGAAAAAGAGCTAAAGCTGACTGTCTCTCTTAAATCAGAAAGCTACTTCATTCGCTTTGTCCTACTTTGGTCAGTGTCAAGATTCATAAAGCTTTCATGTCTAAGTTTGTTTCGTGTCTTTACCAATACAGGAGGCTCATATTGAAGACTACTATTTGGCAAAAAAATATTGAAGACTACTTCAAACCAATAGACAAGCGAGCGATGGGGACTAATCTATGATGAAAGAGGGAAACAATAAAAAAAAAATGATGAAGCTGAGAGGAAATGTAAATGCAACGGTAGGTGGTGCAAACACGGGAGAGCAAATCCAAGATTCAGAATCCTCAGACAATAAGCAAGCTCAAGTAAAGTAAAGACATATTTTGTATTCATGCTGTCGACACAATATAGATTCTCAGGGTCCTCTGAACAAGTCCAATGGTTCAGACAGATTCTCTTAGTTGATCAAGCTGATATCGCCAGCTTCTTATTTTGTTGGGTTTCAATAATTTGATTAAGCTAAGATTGTGGTCTGTTTAGTGTGCAAGACAAGTTATAAGCTGGCTCTGGTTGACCTCTTTTTGTCGGATATAGTTTATGCGCCAATGCAACATCATCGAAACATATCTTGAAGTATCAAAGCATGACTTCTTTTTTTGTTTTTAACATAATTAAGAAAGAAAATGGTCGAGGTTCTCCTTTCATATCACTTTGCTTTGGGTGTAAAGAAACACTCACGCATCTGATTGTGAACTTCAGATTTCACAACAAGTCGCATTCTCTTAATTAGAGTCTTCCCAAAGAAAGGCCTCCCCATTCTCTAGCAAAATCACAAGCTGCTTCAAACACATATCCTGCCAACATGATTTTTTACACAGTTCCAGGTACTGGGATTTACTATATAATGGATCTGAGGTATGAGACTACTTATACAAAAAAAAAAAAAACGAGCCTCATTCTATCACATTATTTTTGTTTTTCTATATAAGTATTCGCATACCTCATTTACTATAGTGGATTGACTCTCTCGTTTCAAATATAGCAAAAAACGAGCCAAGAAGGCATGACTATCCCATTAGCAGGGTTGGGCACAAGGCGGGTACTTGCTATTTTAGCGATATTTGATATTTAACTTGCCTTATTCGAATAATGAAAATGTCGGCTTGTACTTGCCTTGTTAAAAACGAGTACTTGTTTTTCCGAGTACTTGCTGAAAAATGAATTACTTGCAACTTACTTGCCTTGATTTATTACTTGTTATTTGCAAATACTTGTAAGTTATGTGTGAGTACTTGTAAATTAGATATATAATTACGAGTATTTAAAGAATTATTTTCTCAATAATTATTCACTAAAAAATGCACATAAACGTAGTTTATTTTGTTTATTCTACTTAAACACATAAAAAATATAATAAACAAAAATATTTGTACATGTTATAAAAAAGAAGAACCAAGAAAAAAACATATATCTCTGTATAGGAACATTATTTACTTCTCATAATAACAAAAACATCTTTTTGAGCAAGTAACGAGTAATATTAAGGCGAATAGTTATTTTCTTTTCATACTTGTTACTTGCCTTGTACTTGCAAATATCTAATTTCTAATACTTGATACCCGACTTGATAACAACGAGTACTTGAAAAACCGAGTCAAGTACGGGGCGAGTAACGAGTATAAGGCGAGTAGCGGGTATTTGTGCCCAGCCCTACCCATTAGCATTGCACACCACATATCACACCGCTTGCCCCGATTCCAAATTTGTAACCCTAAACCCAGACAATATGCATTTATTTATTTATCATTTACTCATTTCATATTTAGTCATTTGGCAAACAAACAAAAAAAAAAAAAAAAAACTCCATTAAAATACTAAAGAAAAAAATATATATAAAGAAATCAAAGAAGAATCTAATCTACTAATCCATCCGCCGCCGCCTTCTCTCCGAACAATCTCTCAATCTTACACACTCACAATGGGTGACCGGAAGAAACGAAAACCCAATCCCACCAACAACGACAACAACAACAACAACAAGAACCAAAAGAGACGACATTCGAATGATAACGACATCAACAAAGACGAACTCGTAATCTACAGAATCCTCTGCCCCGTTGGACTCATCGGTGGCGTCATAGGCAAGAGCGGAAAAGTCATAAACGCCATCAGAGACTCCACCAAAGCCAAAATCAAAGTATTTGATCAGTTACCTGGTTCCACTCAAAGAGTCATTACAATCTATTCCCAAGTTAAAGAGAAAGTTGATGTAACAGAGTCTGAAAAAACAGAGGAGCCTCTCTGTTCCGCACAACATGCTCTTCTCAAAGTCCATGATACTATTGTGAGTTGTGTAGAATCTAGTGCTGGAGAGAATAAGAATGGTGGTAAGAAGAAGGAGTGTCGTCTTTTAGTTCCGTCTAGTCAAGCTTCTGGTCTGATTGGTAAAGCTGGTGGGAATATTAAGGGGATAAGGAGTAGAACTCGAGCTTGTGTTAGTGTTGTTTCTAAAGATGTTTCGGATCCTTCACATGCTTGTGCTTTGGAGTTTGACAATATTGTTCTGGTTAGTCTGTCTGAATTTTTAATTTTTTTGCTTTTTTTTTAAAAAAATTATGTTTTGTGTGTTTTTGATTTAAGTAGATATCTGGTGAGGTTGAGTCTGTGAAGAAGGCTCTTTACGCTGTTTCTGCTACCATGTATAAGACTAACCCTCGAGAACAGATTCCTTTGGATTCAACAACGGTCCAGGAAACTCCAGCTAGTGTTGTGATTCCCTCGGATTATGTTTATCCATACACAAATCATGATCAGATTCTTTATCATAGGGCATCTGAACTCCAGGGTTATGCGGAAACCACTGCTAATTCGATGATGCATGTTGCTAGTCCTCCTGTGTCTCATGGTTTTGGCGGATCAAAAGAGCTGGTTTTGAAGGTGTTATGCCCTTTGTCTAATGTTGGTCGTGTTATTGGTAAAGAAGGTTCGACCATTAATGGAATGAGAGAAGCAAGCGGTTCTCGTATTGAGGTTAATAAAGCAACGCATGGTGATGATGAGTGTGTTATCACTATCACCGCTACAGAGGTTTGATTCCACTTTTATCATCATTTCTTTTGTTTTCTGAATGTATACTCATTTATTGTGTGTGGTTATGTTCAGTCTCATGATGATATGAAGTCTATGGCTGTTGAAGCTATTCTTCTTCTGCAAGAGAAGATCAATGATGATGATGAGGAGAGAGTTAAGATGCAACTTCTTGTTTCTCCCAAGACTGTTGGATGCGTTATAGGGAAAAGCGGCTCTGTCATAACCCAAATCAGGAAAAGAACCAACGCCAATATCCGTATCTCGAAAGGGAATAACGATGATCTTGTTGAGATATCTGGTGAAGTCAGTAGTGTGAGAGATGCTCTCATTCAGGTTGTTCTAAGACTTCGAGAAGATGTTTTAGGAGATAGAGGCAGTGTCTCCGCTAGGAATCCTCCTGCAAGATCTGATCATTCCGGTTTTACACTTCCTCCTTTTGTGTCTTCAGTTCCAGAATACGGTTCTGTAGATTATGATCAGAGGCGAGAGACAGGGGAAAGCAGCTTAGGAATGGTTTCTTCAGATAGACTCTACGGTTATGAAAGTTTCCCGGTAAGGTCACATATTGAGTTCTGCTGATTCTGCTGGTGACAGATGTCATACTCGTGTCTTAGTGTTTTTTTTTTCCTAAACAGGCAAGAGATAATGGTTTGGGATCAATCGGTCCATACTCATATGGAGGGGGGTAAGTTTTGCAAACTAGACAACAAAGAACTTGGCTTATTTTATGACATTTTTTAAATGATCAAAACTCTTTTTTAATCTATAGATTGTATCAATCTTCTGCATTGGAGATTCTTGTCCCGGCGAATGCAGTGAGTAAAGTTATCGGCAAAGATGGAGGCAATTTGGAGAACATAAGAAGGGTTTGTCTTCTGAAAATTTTGTAAACATTAGTTCTTTTTTTTTTCTTGTCATATGGTAATTAGATCTCTCTCTCTCTGTCTTTCAGATATCAGGAGCGATGGTAGAAGTTTCGGATTCCAAAACTTCACATGGTGATCGCATTGCTCTCATATCAGGCACACCTGAACAGATGCGTAGTGCAGAGAACTTGTTCCAAGCTTTTATTATGTCCACTTGAAACTGTCTCTGTCTCTGTCTCTTCTAGCTTCTTGGTGAGTTCTTGTCTCACCTCGGTTTACTGTGACTGTAGGATAAGTTGTTTAGGAATAACAAACCGGAATTAAATAATATTCCGGTTTACTGTTCATGTGTCTGGTATGAGATAACGAGCCTTGTACCGTACCGTTGCTTGTTAATGAAATTCTTGGGATTTACATGCAGAAAGCCCTTTTATTGTTTATTATAAATTACTTCTTTTTTTTTGTTATTTTCACAACCTGTAACCATTGAGAAACTACTTATTAAAATGCTTAAAATGAGAAACAACTTATTAAAATGCTTAAAATGAGAAACAACTTATTAAAATGCATCTATGCAATTGCAAAGTACGTAAGTTCGTGAACGAGCCTTGTAGTATCTAAAAATATAATGCTATATACCATATGCTTTGCACAGGGCCGGAGCTGAGATTTTGGGGGTTTGAAACATTTCTTAAGAACTCTAAAATTTTGGAGGTTAAGGTCAATGTTTAGGGACTTATTCATAGGTTAAATTTTTCTAAAAATTTCGGGGACCAGAGCGAATGTTTCGATCGGCTATGTCCAAATCCGATCCTGGCTTTGCATATGTGTATTGTGATGTTACGTATATGTTTGTGTTGTGCACATGTACATACGGTTATTAACAAACACTGTCATATGATTGGTTGGGTCTCTCATTTATATATATAAACTTGTACGATCGTTACAAAAAAAAATTCTAATAGATTGATGATCTGGAAATCGTGTTACAAATATATTTAGCTGGATGTGAATTATTTATTTTCTTGAATTATGATGCAAGCGTATTATTTAATACGGAAGAATCTTAGATGTTTCATGATTTTTTCTAATCCTTATGTATTCTCGAGTTATTAACATACATTGCTGCTTTTGCATTTAATAGTCACATGTTTCTCTGTTGTATTCCATTATTTTGCATCATATTCTAGTATTTTATTATAACTTTCTCTATATAATTCTCCCAAAATTATTTTTTTTTTAAAATACCTTTCATTTATACACCTTTTAGAAAATCAACCGATCTCTTATGGACATAACTGAAGTCAATTATGAAGAACTCTAGAATACCAAAAAGAAAAGTTACAATGTAAATTATACTGTATAATGTAATGTTGAAGAAAGAAAATTATATAATGTGTGTACTTTGCTGAACTTGTACGGACGGACAACGCTGCATTTTTACGTCGACAATCAAGGTGAAAACGGCGGGGCGTGCAAAGTAAGAATGGACACATGACACGAGGTGCATGTGACAGCAATATCTGCGGCTTTTGTTACTTCCCTGCTAAGTCTCTTCCCTTATTGATTCAGATCTACATCAATGCTCTCTGTACTGTGCTATTACAGATTCCACACATGACTTGTCTAAATGCATTTTACATATCTTACTTTCCCTTTCTTTAGTTGATCTCCAATTATATTATCTCAAATGATAGTATGAATTATATTATGGAACAAACTATTTTCCGCCAAAATATATTATAGTAACTGACACTTTCATATTCCATGAATATGGGAAGAACTTGTAATTATAAATTAGTTTTAAATACTAAACTAATCGCTTAAACTGATTTTTTTTTTTGATTTTTCTTTTTATCATCTTTAAAATTGAATTATGGAACTTATAGAAAAGTAGGGAAGAATTTGCCTACGAGTAGACTAGAGAACACTAGGCAAATCCAATTAATTCTCACCAAATGACCTAACGACTTATCATGTGGTACAGCTAAGTCGAAAATCTTTTAATTGTCTATTATGATAATGCAACACCATATCATGCCATGAATAATCCTGTATAAAATAACTATAGAACTGTATCTTCTCATCGTCTATTCATATTTGATTATTCAACACCCACGAAGCATTACCATTATT